CACCGCGCCGAGAGATGGCGAACCTCGCGCCGGGACTCGGAAGTGGGCAGAGCGTGAACACTCGCGCAGCGACACTGCGCTGAGTGCGCCTGTCCGCGCCTGTCCTCTCCTTGCCACATCTCACCGCGACTCGTAGCCTCCGAAAGATGTAAATGTCACTCTTGGCTGACCTGGGTCCCCGCTTGGGCAGCGGCTCGAGCTTCCAGGTCGTGACACCAAGGAAAAAGCGCACACATCCAATGAAAACAATAATTTATTTAAATAATCTCTTCATAGTGTAAAATCAACATTAAGAGCATGTTGTTTTCATAATAAATAACCCCAAAATACCTTTCAAGAACAAAGACTTTAGGACAAAATAAAACAAATCCAAATCAGTAGCTTAGTTAAACTGAGAAAATTTTTCAAGGGGAAAAATAAAAGAGGTTGCTGAGGTCACTGCTGAACCGCAGTTTTCACAGGTGGGGGGGTTTACAAAAAAGTCTGAAAAGATGAGTATTTTTATACAAATAAATCAGTGGGAAATCTGCACAGACACCTTTATTTACAAACGCTATGCCGAAGTCCAGGCTAATAATCCTGAATAGGTTTTAAAAAAGATAATTTAAACACATTTTTTGCAGTGTCCACATATTAAAAAATCATTTTTCCCCAACATCAAAATGAGGTCATCCGCAAAGGCACCTAAACATTTTTTAAAATAAAAATTAAAAAACTCCACTGGTGAAGGAAGGGGAGAGCTAAGGGAGTGTTCCTGGGGGAGAGCTAAGGTGGGGAAGGGACGGGGGCTCCAAGGGCTGGAAACGGCAGGGCAGAAAAAAAGCGGCAGGCCGCCTGGGTCAAGGAGGAGTGAGGGGGGTGGGAGGGCGGGCAGGCAGGACCCGGGAGGTCAATAACCCTAGAGGACTGGAGTTGAGCCTGGGGGCGGGCGAGGAGAAAGGAGCCTCAGAGGGCCCGGGCAGCCTTGCGGGCGGGGGAGGCGTCTCTCTCGGGGACTCAGCTCGCGGCCCGCGGCGAAAAAGGCGCCGGACTGCCTCGCCGGGCGGGGCGGGGAGGGGAGGGGAGGCGAGGCAAGTCTGAGGCGGGACTCAGGTCGGAAAGGCGTCTGTGGCAGGCGTCCTTCGCCACGTGGAGGCCGGGTTCCTCCGAGAGGAACCCGTGGGACGAGAAGACGCCTCCCAGTCCCTGTCTGCGCGGTGGCCGCGCGAGGGAGCAGGGCCTGGGGTAGGCCATCTTGGGACGCCACCTCCGGGAGCGGCGGGTGGCATCTTCGGGGCCAGCAGGAGGAACCCTCTGGCTCTGGGAGTGAGCACTGAGGCTAACTGGTCTCTGCTCTCTCAGTCTCTGGCGCAGTCTCCAGGGGTTAGAAAATCGTCCCCGCGCTCACCGGGGCGCCCCCGCTGCCGTGGTGGTGATGGTGGTGGTGGTGTGGCTGCTGGGTCTGCGTCGGGTGCAGCAGTGGCGCCGGGGCCTGCAGGTGCGAGCCGGAGCCCGAGGCCTGGTGGTACCACGGGTAGTTGCCCAGGAAAGCC